AGCAAATCGCGTGCTCAGTCCTCTGTATCTGCATTTGGTATCTATTTTCCTATCTAGCCACCTTTTGTTCTAGCTTTTCCCCAGTCCTATTTCCGTATATAGAATTGCATCTGATACTTTAGTTCCCTCTGACACAGTCTTCTCGAGATACGATGCTCATGTATTATGTGCATAAGCAGATCCAACAGATCCAACTTGCAGCTCCCAGATAGCACACACACAGGTTGGTAAACTGGGCGACTCGAATTTGGAGCAACAGTTGAGGGTCAGGCAGATAAATAAAAAAGAATAAGACACTACTTGCTCTCCGAGATTAACTTTTGTATTTAACTTCTCTTTTAAATGGCGACACTTTAGAGGAATTTATACAACCTGCTGGTGTCTAATTAAGCCATGAATAATTTAATCAAAGCAGCAAGTACATGGGAATGTTTTTAGTAAGCAAGCTAGCTAAATCACGGCTGGAATTTACATCTTACAATTTTCAAACGGTGAATATTTCTTGAAATTCTTTATACTTCTGGAAAGTAATTCCCATTTTAATAATGAAATGTACGAAAGGGTATGAGAAAATACCATTAACTTTGGAAATATTTGTTTTAATTTAAATTTTTATAGAAGAACAAGTTCTTTTCAAAATTAACTAAGAGTCAGTCATAAGAACATAAAGAAAAATATAGTTCATTAAGTCAAATCATCATGAACTAGCCATAAAACTGATATATTTAGCAAAACAAAAAGATAAGAACATAAATCTGCTACGTTATTATCAGCAGAAAATATTTGATAAAGTAGAAAGATACAAATGTTAAATATTTGAAAAATTATTTATAAACCTAAGAAATATTTTATCTTAGTTCTCTAAGATATGCATTCTTTGGGTCTCTTTCTATTATACTTCCAAAGAGTAAACCCTACAACCCCTATATATCACCCCTTTGTCTTCAAGAAAACTTGTGTTGTTATGCTAATCTACAGCCCAACGTTTAAATAAACAAACACAAGATATCAAAACTCTAACACCAAATCTAACAAAACCAAACAAAAGGGCAATGCCAAAGAATTCTAATGTAAGAACTCTATGAACTTGTAGTCTCGAGTGGGCAAGGTGAGACCCATTGAGAATATGAAGTCCCAGTTCGATTTCCGATTATCAGAATCGATGGTGAAGAGTGTGTGTTGAGTGAGTGAGCTAATAAAGTATTACGTATACGACCTGTGGCCGTGTGATTTTTCAAGTAAGTTTAGGCCATACATATGCGCCGCACCGCTCGTTCATTTTGGATTCGAGTGTACAAAAATCGACATCGACAGTAATTGACCTTGCGTCTTTTCACGCGCCACACATTTTCCAAAAGTTTGTTTTCGTTTTTCTTCTGCTTGTGGTTGTTGTTGTTGTTTTTTTTTTGTTTTTGGGTCAAACAACAAACTGCAGCTTTAAATAGAACTTTAGGGGGTTAATCATATATGTAGAGAGAGAGTTTCATGACTAACACTTGAACTTCACACCCAATTACTTTATCTTTTTTGGTTCATATTTTTTCTAAGGAAAACTGCACAATTGTGCACTTTAATGAGGCAAAGTGAGCAAAGAGCAGCCGATGTGAAGTAATTCCAATTGTTATGCAATCAAAAAGTGACACAAAAGACTCAGCTCCTCCGTTTCCTTCACTTTCATTGCACGATTGTTGGCAATTTCAATAATTGAGCACTCTTTTTTCCTCGTTTTTTAATAAGCTTCAGTGTGTATAACTTTCAACAATCGCCATCTGTCGCATTATTGTATCTATATCTTTATTTAGTATCCGTCTCTGACATTTAGATTGCTTCACGCTCGATTAAGTAGAGCCATTCAATAGGAGCTATCTGTGGTCAGTACTTTTCAAAAAGTAATACGCCCCTTTTCGGATATGTAAAGGGGGCGTAACACCAGACTACACTTGATTATTTATTGAGCGTATATAAAATGATATCTGTAGATATATAATACAGCCCCTCGAAAGTCTCAAACTGCACTGTCAGACATTTAAGCTACCTAAATGTTAACATTTTTCCCTCTTGAAGTCAGCCGCCGCATGTTTCCACGTATCTGTTAGGTTTTTGATAGCTTAGCTTTGAATTTCGAGCTGTTTGGTTTTATTGGGAAATTGTTTACAAGCGAAAACTGATATTAAATTGATTATGTATTGATGGGATCAGCATTTAGAAAGGGTTTAATGTTTTTTGGATGTTTGGTGAAAAGGAAACTAAAGAAGTTGTGGGAATTGTCTATGGCAGCAGAATTTTCAGTTATTTTTTTTAGCTCTTTTAAAGTTTCAATAATAAAATATCTTTTAGTTCCAAGAAAAGGTTCAATATTTCAGTATATCTAAAGTATAAAGTAACGTTTGAGATATATCACTTATATTTCAAATTAACATTAAATTTATCAAATATTTAAAAGAAAAGATGGCCAATACTAAGGCTAAGCCTAAAAGACATCAAATCCGATCATATCAGAATATTTTGTCTTAAATTCCTTAACGGAACACTTGTAGGCCCAATTTTCTATATTTATCAGCTATAAGAATTCTAGTAATCGCAATTAACAACGAATTTCGCATTGATTTTGAATCACAAAGACTAGAGGATGCTGCTGTATAAATAAAAACCCAAAAACAGTTGACATTTCGTCGGCATGCAACAAGAAGTTCAATATGCAACAGGCAAGTTTGGATCGAAGACTGCCAATAAAATGTCAATCGACGGTGCTGATGCACTGCATCGGGCCAAAATTACCAATGCGCGGAGGGGGGGAATTGAAAGCCGCAAGGGGAAAGCACATTTTGGCAGCTGTTGGTGCGGTGCTGCTTAAAAATAGAAAAATAGCCAGGGAAACGAAAATAAAAACAACAAAAAATAAGCAAGAAAAGCAGCGCGGGCGAAATTTTGTGTGCTTTCCCCATTGCTCCACCCATTCGCCAAATAGAAAACTTAGAAACAAGTAAAGAAAAACTAAAAGTATGCGTAGAGTTATAAAACAAAAGCCCAATATACTGCGATATATATGTATATATAAGTATATGTATAATGCTGAGTAGATCTCTGAGAAGAGCAAGATCTATTTAAAGATTGACTACTGGCAGGAAAAGCTACGACGACGGCGACATTTTCACGCGGCTGACTGGGAAATTCAAACGCACCTCATCTCAAATAAAAATGTATCTAGGCATCTACTAGATGCCTGCTCAATGTGTCTATGTGTGTGTACGAAGCGCTTGACAAGTTTTCTCTGGCGAGAAGAAGCTCGATGTGAAAAATCACAAGCACAAAATTTCGAAAAAGAAAAAATTGAGCACACGCCATGCGAAATAATAAAGCTATGTGAATTCCGCCCAGAGAACGAAATTTGTTAAAAATAAATTTCAAAATTTCCTAGAGACCAAAATTAAGAAATAAACTAGACCAGAGAGCCGGGCAGCCTGGCAAAATCAAAAAAAGTTTTTAGGGAGTTAACTGGGTCTTTTATTGACACCAAAAGGGGGATACATAAATCCATGAAATATAGAAAGAATCTATTGAAAATCAAAAGAGTTTAACATTAAACTAATACAAGTTAAAGCTGCTAAAATTAGTGCGAGTTTCGCCTTTTACTTCAATGGAATAAAATTAAATTTTAAACCGAGTTGCTTCTTAATGTTGGAAGGAACCTTTTAATTTTAAAGAAATTTCGCTTTTATTTTTAATATCATTACTTTAATCTTACTAAAACCTCAAAAACCTTAAGTCAAATTCACTAAACTAAAACCACTTCCTGATAAAAAAAACCAACTCTCCAAATCCCATGCTTCTAAAACCGATTCACAGTGACATTTAGTCGAGGAATTTGTGGTTCCAAGTTTAATGACCAAGCGCACACGAAGCATCGCCACTTCTCAGGTCGCATCCCAAAAAAAGAAGACCTCAAATACCAACGAACTTTTAGAAATCAGTTCCAAATGCCAACAGCTCAACTCTCACACGGATATACATAGAAATCAATATAGAGGCTAGAGTATGGTTTCTATAGCACTGGGGATCGAGAGATTACAGCATTTTTAGCCGCCTAACCACTCTGGAGATCTTGGAATGCGCCAGTCGAACCACAACCGAACCAAAAGTAAAGTGAAGTGAAGGCATCTAAACCCGTTTTTGGGTCAGCTTTTACACGTTGTTTGGGCCAACTTTATTGACATTTCGCCGCATCGAACGCAACAAAAACAACAATAATATTAATTCAACAACAACACAACTTTCACTTGTACGCATCGCGGCGGAAAGATGAAAAACATTCAAAAACTCCAACAGGCGCATCTCATGAATGGGAAAGATGAAAATCATCATCGAAGAAGCTGGAGATTGAGATTGGCTCGAAATACTGCGACAGGTGTCAGACATTCTCTCCGCATCTTCTGAGTGATTTACTTTCTGAGGGAAAAGCTCCGTGGGAGGTGCACAATAGTTTTCTCGTAGGCTTTATTACACCACTAACTTTGACACCATTATACAAAGTGATTTATTGCAACGTGTAAAAAACAAATTTTAGCATAATTAATAGTTGAAAACTAAGTTAATGTGTCACTTCTTTAGGGGTAGCAGGTGTAAACTTTTTCAATTTGAAAACAAAGAAAAAATTGACACTTTTTTAAAGTTTAAAAAACTTTGTTTAACAACAAATAAAACAAACAAGTTTAAGTTTTTTAAACTGAAAATATCCTGACATTTTCAATAAAAAAAATTGTATAAGTTTAGTAAGAAAGCCCTTGACTTTTAACCTGGAAATCGTTGGTGCTGTGCAAGATGTGCAAGATGACCCAACTGGATGAAAACTAGGACAGGGACACGATTTCAGCTGGAATGCTAACCATTATAATGGGGTGGATTGTTGCGGGGTGGTGCTAGTTGCACAGTTCGGTGGTGGGTTTCATGACCTTACCACCTTGCGTGGGCGTTGCAATTTGCAACGTTCGACTCCAACTCACCTTCTCCTTGGCACGTCCAGCGTGTTTTTGAACAGATTTGGCTAGCATGATGCCTTTATTCTCGGACATTCAGTAGAATTTTAAACTAGGTTTATTTTTTACTTTTATATATTAACTTTAATATCTTTTTGTATTATTATTTTTTTTTTTAGATGCACTTGACCGGGGCAACGGAACTCTTCCCTTCCTATTTATGTGGCACAACAACTGGAAAGCACAGTTTTCCGTTTGCGGGAAACTTTAAATGCACGACGATAAACAACCGAGTGTTGTGTTTATGTTTTTTAAACAAACTAAACAATATCGATGCGAATGCGGCCCCACACACTTGTTAACGGTATTATAGGTACGTGTGTATATATAAAAATATATATCTACGGGCCCCGATAATTTTTTGGCAATGCGACTTTTACGGGCGCGTCGAATTCACTCGGAATATTCAAAACAAATGGCACAAGCAGTCGACGGACGAACGGAGAAGAAAAGGCGACGAATGTGCGTGGAAGACGACAGTGATAAACGAGAGAACGCGATTTCAGCTGTCCAGTGTGACTGTGCGTTTGAAATACTGCGAAATGGCGGGTTCTCATATAATGTACTAAAAATGCAACCTGCTGGTAGACTAGAATGTGACTGCAGCAGTGACTCAAACCAAATGTTATAATTCAGAATTAGCAATAACAAATCAATTATAAATAATATACTCATTTTATTTTGAATTATTCAAAAAGCTTTCACAACATTAACCAATTTGATAAATAGTTTTAATTTTTCGAAAATATTACATTTTGTAAATACCGCTTACTCCGCTTATGAAAATGATTGTTAGCCTTTATTTTGTACTGTAATTTGATTTTTAAATATATTGTCTGTAAAAAAGAAAATTATAACCAAATTTGTTTGTAATATTTTCATTATTGAAAGTAAACAACAAGTTGTCCGTAAACAATTTTAAAACTAACTGTCTTTACCAAAAAAAGTTGGTATTTTTTATTGTGTTGAGGTATTATCGATAGCATCTAGTAAATATCGGTAGCTTCGGCGAGGACCACCCACAATCACATCGATAACGATTGCACGATAGGAATACGCCGCACTCAAACCGAGTTGGGATTTTGTTGTAACTTGCTGGTCATTTTTCACGGCTGTGCGACTAATTTAATTTAAGCAGAGTCTTAATGAAAAAGTGTTACAAATCAGACGCAGCGCGCAGCAATCTAGTAGATCTCGTCGACCATAAATAATGTAAATTTAAAAATTCCTGGCGTGGGGTTGACCATAGCGCATACATATATGTTCATAAACGTGTGTGTGTGTGTGTGGAGTTTTATTAAAAACTAAAGCACGAGTGAATTAAAGTGCATAATATTTAAAAAAATTAAGTAAAGAGTTTGAGGAATTGCATTAAAAGCAGCATAAAATCGATTTCGTGTGCATATGTGTGTGTGCCGAGTGTTAGCATGTGGTTGTTGCAAATGTAAGAAAACGAAGAAGCAGCAGCAACTCACGCGCTACTCTCTTCCTTTCTCTCTCATTCTCCACCTCCCCCTCCCCCTTTTAGCTCTATAAGCAGCTGAAAGTTGTAGCCGCAATAAATTTAAAAATTACCAGAAATCTGCTTGTTGGCAGTAGTGAGACATAAACAAAGAGGCCTAAAAACAAAAGATACTTCAGTTATTATAAGCCAGGTATGTATAAAATATAATATTACAAAAGTGCGCGCCCTTGTGTGCGAGTCGGTGTGTTTGTGTGTGAGTGAGTGGGTGCCCAGAATATGTTCGTACTTAACCTCAATTTGCCCCAACTGATTACGCTAGGCGGCAACTAAAAACTTCTAATGGCATTATTCATTTTAATATAATGCATTCTTTGATATTTCACTTTTAAAATATTCCTCGTAAATCTTCAACTTTTTATAAATGAGGTTGTTTTTAATTACTGCTACAGACTTAATTATAGTGTGCAAATGTGTATATTTGTGGAAATTGTTCTTATCGCCTTTCTGTATACACAAAAAAAACAAAGTTCCGCCATCTGTTGGCACGTGTATATATGTGTGTATGGTGGGACATTTTTAATTGTCTTTGATTTGATAAAATAAAATTTAAAAAAAGAGCATAGCCTCTGAGAGTAAATAAAAATAAGAAAGGAAGGTATTGAGAACAGCAACAACAATGACGCAGACACGCACACAAAGAAGGCAATCAAAACACAAAAGTGTGTGTATGTGTGCGTGTCAGTGTGAGAGAGATAGAGCTCGTTTACCGCGCTCACCTTTTGTTATTGTTGCGTTCATTCGTTATAGAGCTGCCAACTTGTAGAAAACTGATCACTTAAGGGGTTAGCCCTTAAATTATGATAGCAACTACAAAAAACTGCTATACTTTTAATATCTAAAAATTCAGCTTTATTCTATAGCAAATATAGTGTAAACTTTTCTAGGCGCATTGTTGTCCTTGTAAAATATACAAACAAGTTCTATATGTAAAAAATTCGAAATTACAAGCATGAAAATATAAATATATTAACACATAAAGAAAAATGTACTTTTGTTAAAACTAAAAGAGTTGGCAGCTCTGTCTACCCTTTTGCGTGTGTGTGTTTGTGTACAAGGTGAGCGAGACAGCAGTTTCAGCCTTCAATTTGCGGGTTTTACATTGATTCTAATTAAATAATTCGTTGAAATCGGGCTCACTGCTTCTGTGAGGTCCAATTGAGATACATACACACATATACATATGTTCGCAGTGCTTTCCTCGTTTTCCACCAATTTTCTTTGTGAAGCGCCTCAAGTTTGGACTGGCTTTTTGAGTCTGGTTTGGTTTTGGCCATTTGAAAACTTGAAAATCAAGTTACTTCTGAACTCAAACTCTCCCCAGTTTTGGCAGTCCCAGTCTCTCCACACTTCTCTCGATCTTTCTCCCGAGAAACAAACACTTGCCGCGTCGCCAACCGATTGTTTGCAATTTGCAATTGTCTTTTTGCCAGAGGCCAACGAACAAGTCTTGAACTTGATGGCCGGAACGAAGTTGAAGTGTATTAGACGTTGAACATTTTTACACAGTTTCAGTTTTAACAGGCGCATGACTTGTTTATAATGTTATAATTGTCTTGGTTAATAATAAAAATCGTGTGGGAATTTCGGCATCTTTTGAAAGTAAAATGCCATCCAACGTTTAGAAAACTGGAGTGGATTTTAATCGTTAACCTTTAGATACTTCAACTCATCCGATTAATACAATCTTCAAATTTTATATTTAATCTAATCTATTGATTTCCTTTAAATGGTTTTCTTGTACTGATAAATACACTTTGGAATAAACCAAATACTAAATAATTTTAAATCCATTCCAGATTTTGAATATCTTCAACGTAAAAAGGAAAATAGATTTATAAACAAGTTTGGCTTTAAAGATTCTATTAAAAATCACTTAACAATGGGTAATTTAGCAATTTTTCACAATACATTTTCTGTAAATATCACTGAAATCTATGCCATTTCTTATTATCTTGACTTTAACTCGATTTGGACAGGCAAACAGTAAATTACAAAAGGTATTTATCACATTAATAATCAGGTGACACACGAGGAGCCCAAATATCAGATAATTTGCTGACCACGTACGAATATCCAGCTAATTGGTATTATATATAGCTGGATCGTTGTGACAGGAAGCACATTCCATTGCGTATTTCATTCGATCAGCGTTGTGTACATGGTATCATTTTCCTTTTGCAGTATATTCCAAGCCATCAATCTGAAATTAGCACAGGGATAATTAGAACATGCGAAACCACCTGGTATTATTATCAAACGAAGAAGAAAAAACATCAATAAAACCCAATGGAAGGGCAAACAAACCTTCCTGAGGCGCCTGGAAGTCGGAGAGTTTTGTTTGTCCCGTTTTATTCGGTCCGGGGATTTCGTTGCACCTCGGACATGCGCTGCACCCAGTTGTTGGTTAGTTGCATATGAACTTTGAACTTTTGAGCTGGAAAGTGGAAGGCGGATTTGCATTTCCTATCGCTGCTGCAGGTGCCTTAAAGTGAGAGCGGCTCTCTCCTCGCTCTCCCTCTCTCCGTTTCGGTTACTCTCTCGTATTCGCCGCCCCCGCTGCATTTTTTTCATTGCGCAATGAGCGGAGCGAATCGATAACTGCAAGGTTTTCATGTTTCAGCAGCTCAAACTTTTTGCGTATACAGATTTTTTCGCCAACTTTACTATATTTTTTTTTGTTTGATGGCGCTGTGCCGCCGAATTCGCTTCAATTCAAGATGGAAACATGTGTTTTTATGTGGTTCCGCCATTGTCATGGTGAGATGCACTTTACTTTTTTTCGGCTTCATGCTTTTTTTTTTAATTCCTCTCTCCTCCCGTACGCGTCTGTGTGTGTATGTGTGAGTTGCTGAGCGAGGTGGAGGAGCAGTACGTGAGTGTGTAAAGTGTAGCCGTGGCAGAGTTGTAGCTCGCTAGTGGTCCGTTTGGTTTCTGATTTTCAGTTTCGTCGATTTCATTATGTACTGCAATAGTCCGGCTAAAGCGCTCTGCCGACGTCGTTATTTCTCTGTATACTCGTTGCTTTAGTGTGGGTTCGCCGCTCTCTCTCGCTCTCTTTAAACAGAAACAGGGTGCCTTGCTGAAATACTTTGATCATCTTATAAACCACATGGATGTCTATAAAGATAACACCCTGTTTTCTTAGCAACTTGTTTTCTCTTTTCCTCACCATTCAGCGATGTTGTTGCTTTTTGCACTTACGTAAGCTTGTCGTTCGTTTCTTATCCAAATTCTAAGCGCCATTTTGCACAAAATTGCATGCGGTATGGGGCGCCGCGGGTAAAAATAACTGCTGATTGTTATTATTTAGTAATAAGTTATGGTATATAAACCATTTTAACTGTTTTTGGGATGAAACTGCAATGTTTTCGATGCGCCCGACGACGGAAGTTGTTCAGTTGTTGCGCCGCTGAGTTGCCACCCTGTTTTAGCTGCGGCAACAGCAAATTAATTCCAAAGCAACACTGCGCGCGCGCTCTCCCGCTCTCTGGCTTGCTACCCCTCTCTTCCTCTCCCAGAGAGAGCGCACAAGGTCCCTCTCCGCCTTCTTTTGCTTTGATCTCTCTCTCTCTCTCTTGCTCTGTACTGACTCCGACTGACTGGCTGTCGTCGTTTTGCCGTTTTAATCGAAAATGTTTGCGGCGGCGTTAAGATGTACGAAAACGTTTTCTCGCCAAAATTGTGTGAATATAATAGCAGTAGAAATCTACCGAGGCATTAAAAAAATGTTTTAAATTCTCCCAGTGTGTGTTCTAGTTATTCTAGCAAAATCGAATGAACGAAACATTTCAACGTGGAATTAAAAAGAAAAGGAAATATATGAAAAATAAGATTTCGGTGTAGTGCCAGTTGAGTGCGGAAATAGTAGTTGCAAGTGCAAAATACTGCGTAAAACGTGAAAGTTTCCAATAACACTACAAAACCAACGGCAGTTTTGTAGTAAATATACATACGCGCCTAGTACATACATACATACATTTCGAATATACACACAGCCGAATATCAACCGACGAAGCTAACTGCTTATTGCTTATTGCTGATGTAAGTGTAATATTGGCGGTGGGCGGTTGGAGGGGGCGTGAAAAGTGCAGAGGAATAGTATCCTTCAAGTGCACTTGGCTTGCGGATACGGATTCAAACAACATTTCGTGTTCGTGCCACTGAAAACTTGTGAAAAATACAACATTTTTAGGTTAGGTCAATTTCAATTGGTTTATATACACACGCACGCACACAAACACGCATGCAATGGCCATAGCGAATACATATAGAAGGCGCACAGACAAAAAGTCGTCGTCGGCGACGACGTGGTTGTTGTTTGTGTTGCTGCTGTTTCTGGTGCTGCTTCTGCTGCTCAGCTCACAAACACATAAACGAGGGTGGAGAGGAGAGCCACACAAACACACACGTACGCTTTGAACCATTGCTTTTGGCTTGCTTATGAACTGACTGTATTTTTTCAACGTAGTGTCGTTTTATTTTCGTTCGTTGATTCGTTCTTTGCTCAGTTCGTGCGCTTATCTCGACTTTTGCTTTGATGCGCCATTCGCATGTACTGGCGAGAGCAGCCCAGTGTAGTGTGAGTGTGCATTTAAATGGCTCCCCAATGAGAGCATCATATTTACTTCTTTCTTTCTTCCCATCTTCTTGGCTCCCTCATCACATTCGTCAATTGTTGTTCTTGTTTTTTCATTCGGTTTTGAATTTACACAAAAAGTTTGCCGTGCTGTTTCTTCATGCTGAAATAGTACATATATATATGTGTATTATATTGTACATATTTCTCTATACATCCATATGTTTTATTTGCAAAATTTATTAATAGCGCAGCGCCAGTTTTGCGAGTGTGCGTGTGTTTGTGTGTGTGTCAGAGCGAGAAAGTAACACCAAAAACTAAATATTAATTCGCGATGATTCGTATTGCAGCAGTTGTTTAAAAATCGAGTGCTAGTGTATCTAACAAATTTTTGCATATTTTTCCGCTGCCTGCTTTTTGTGCTGCGTATTCTGCTGTGCTGTGTATACACATAACAAAACAGATAAGATAACATTATACGTGTGCACGTAATAGAGCGGGCTGAACAAAAAAAATGGAGGGAAAATTTGCCCACATGTCTCCCCAAAAGCACTCACACACATACACACACACGCACACAACGCCCCAATTTGGAGCCTCTCTCGTCAAACACGCACACATACAAATGTGTTTGGTATGCACTAATGGCGGATCCAAAAATACAATAACAACAAAAGGTCGTTAAGAGAACGCAAAAGAGCGAACTTGTTTTACCTTCTTTTTTTTTTAAGGATAGTTGGTGGTGACAGAGGGAGACGGCTAAAAGCTTTTGTGCGGCTGTACAGTGTGCTTCAATATTTGTTTACAAATGCTTAAAGGGGGCAGCTGTTGGTTCGATGGGGTGTTTCAATTAGTTGGAGCAGGATGATCCTCTAGGCGGTTTCCATTCACCTTCCATATTTACTCGCTCTCTCTTTGATGCGCAGCTTTGCGCTCGCTCTCATTCTCTCGTTTGCCCGCCAAATGCTCGCTTTACATGTGTGTGTGCTTGGCCCCAAACGGGTGAAATACCTTTTAGAAAAAAAATCAGCCATATCATACTGCGCCTCAACAACAAATTCTGCTCTTTCTCCCTCGCTCTCTCCCTCTGATTCTCTCTTTGTGGCTGCACCACCACCACCATTATAGCAACACCACCACCTTTGCATTGTTGCGTTTGCTTCTTCTTCTTATTCTTGTAAGTTGTAGATACAGAATATGTACCAGCAATACTCCCTCCCCCCGACAACCCGTCCCTTGTCAGTATCGGTATATAAATATGTTTTACTTATATGTTTGTGTGAATGTCTCTGAATTCTATGCAAGCCGATGTCGTGCATGGGGCATTTGGCACCTTCCACATCCACAAAAATATACAATATACATACACGCATTCGAAGGTGTATACAGAAAGCTCGCTTAGGAAGTATTTACTGTACCGCTAAAAGCAATAACAAAGCGCGCGCCCAATTCCGGTTGCACGTACACACACTAAAAAAAGTGAACTCTCCTCCTTTTTGCCGTCTTGCACACTCTCCTCAAAGTTTTAACTTCCACTATACCGATCTCCTTCCCGTCTATATGTACCATTCTGGTGTTGTTTTTTCTCGCAGCTCCACCATTCCATTCCATTCCTATTCTCTTTACCTTTCACTCCTCCCCCGATTCCAATATCCAATACAAAGACATCGTTTTCCACTCTATAGTTTTTGTGATACGGCTAAAAGAAGAATTCCCTAGTGTGCTTTTTATTTTACCATTTTTCAATGGAATGTACAATCGTTTTTAGAAGTCTTCTAGATATAGAATTGATCAATCAGCTGTGCTATGTTAGTAAACCAGTTTTTGAGAAATGTAAAAGAATCGTGTTTTATCTTTTTTTTGTGACTCCTATCTGGAAAATCAAATAATAAGTCAATTGGAATGACTTGAAGTAAAATAGAACCATGATAGTAACTTAGTAACTCAGTCATGAGCTTATACTTATTTCCAATAAACACAGAAGTTTAAAAATAGCTTGCTTTATACTTCAGGAAAATAAAGTCTGAAAATGAGTGCTTGATGTGTTCCTTAACTAAAACTTCCAGTTCTTTAAATTACATATGCAGTTTGATGACCGATTCCTTTTCCTTACTTACAGTTATATCCATAAAGAACTCCAAAAGCTACGTGGCAGAGGTGAATCACCGGCGCAGCAACACCAGCAGGAGATAACCAGCAGTCGGTCCAATTTCTCTACCCTAGAACTCAAGCGCAATTGCCGCTTGCGGGGCGACCAAATGCATAGACAACATATGTCGCATCCACGAGCAGTCCAAGACCAAGAGTTTAGACCCCGACCGTTTGTTGTATATTACATTCGCTCATAGAGGGCGGCCACTTACCCAGAGCAGCTAGAGAGTCCTTGGGCAGGGATCCAGGGAGAAACAAAGTGCTCAGCAAGCAGAAGCAGCAGCACAGGATTAGAGGCTCCGCCAAGGACAGAGCAACGAAAAAGATGATGAAACGCACCCGTGTCGACGAGGTGCAATTCGGCACACGACCCGGTCCACCGACATCCGGTGGCGTGGGCGTTGGAGTCGTTGGAGTGGCTGGTGGAGGACCAACATCTGGAAGCGGTGGTACCGCCACCGTCGGCGTCAATACGACAGGCGTAACCATTGGTACCGTAGTGCCCAGTGCCCATAACGCCCCCATCAGTGGCATCGGTTCCATTCACCATCGCATCCTTACCCCACAGCATGGAGGAGCTCAAACCATTGCTTATTTGCCGTCCACCACACCGACGGCCACTAATTTAAAGACCACAAGCTCTATTGTGGACAGCACTAACGCTGGAGGACCTGTAGGAGCGGGAGCTCAGGTGGCTGTTGGAGTAGGCGCTGCAGCTGGCGGTGGAGGCGTGGTAGTCTCCACAGGCAGCACGGGAACACAAACATTACAGTATACCACATGTAAGTACACAATTTCAATCACTGATGAAATGTTTCTTTAACTAATTTGGCGATTTTTATATTACAGCTTATAGCGTGGCTTCCATTCAAGCTGGTGGAACTCTCAAAGCCAGCACAGCAGACGGCGCCAATACAGTACAGATTCATGTTACGGGAGGAGCAGGAGCAAGCAATTCTGCCAACGCACAGACCGTTTCCAGTAGCTCACAAACGGGCACAATCCGACAGCGTACAATCAGCGGTACCCAGACTGTAGCCACTGCCGTGGGAAATCTGGCCACAATGTCCCAGCAACAACCAGTTCAGCAGCCATCTTTGGCCACCGCTCAAACGCCACCATCGTCCGTGGTTGCCAACAGTATCCCCGTGGGTGGAACCACCCCGCCGCAGGGACAATCTGGTAATGCCACGCCACGCTTAAAAGTGGAGGATGCTTTGAGCTATCTGGACCAAGTGAAGTACCAGTATGCGGACCAACCGCAGATCTACAATAACTTCCTCGACATCATGAAGGAGTTCAAGTCGCACTGCATCGATACACCCGGAGTGATTGAGCGCGTCTCTACTCTCTTCAAGGGACACACCGAGCTGATCTACGGCTTTAACATGTTCCTGCCGCCGGGTTACAAGATCGAGATTCATTCTGACGCTCTCGGATGCTCGGTGCCGGTGGTATCGATGCCATCACCACCAGGAGCACCAACGAGCACTGGAACAGTGCACATGCTCACTGGAAATAGCCCAATGTCAGCTGCTGGACATATTGCCATCAAGACAACGAATGCGGCGACATTGACATCGGCTACAGGAGCTGGAGCAGTGGCCGCAGCAGCAGCTGTGGCACAAATTCAATCCGCTGGAGCTGTAAATCTAATGACTCACGGAGCATCGCTTACCCAGACAACTATCCATGCTCTGCAGCAGCAAGCGACGCCTCCTCAATCACAATCTCCAGGCCATGTCCACGTGAGTGTAACCAGCTCTTCGGCGCCAACTGCCGGAGTGCCTGGTCAACAACCCCCTGGCATCTCAGTGTCTGCGCACAATGTGCCGCAGAATTACTCGAGAGATCGAGAAAGGGCCACCATAACGCCCACCGGTCAAGTGCCTGGAGGAGCGGCCAATGCAAACGCAGCGGCTAGTATTGTGGTCGGCGGACCTCCAACGCCAAATTCCCTGAGTGAGCTAAGTCCCCACGGAGGAGCAGGTGGGCCAAGCGCGGGAGCAGCCCAGCATAATCTCCATCAAATCCAGCAGGCGCATCAATCAATTTTGCTTGGCGAGACGGGCCAGCAGAATCAACCGGTGGAGTTCAATCACGCCATAACCTATGTAAATAAGATAAAGGTAACGTCTGCTCAACATCTCTAAACTACCTATATTACCTGTACTAATGTCTTTCTCTTTTAAACAGAATCGTTTCCAAAATCAGCCGGCCAAGTACAAGAAATTCCTGGAAATTCTGCATGCCTATCAAAAAGAGCAGAAAGTGATGAAGGAGGGCAGCCTAAACCAGGGTAAAATGCTTACCGAACAGGAGGTGTACACGCAGGTGGCTAAGCTTTTTGGCCAGGATGAAGATTTACTAAGAGAGTTTGGCCAATTTCTGCCCGATGCGACCAACCATCAGTCTGGGCAATATATGTCCAAGTCAGCGTCCGTGCACAACGATCATGGCAAGCGTCCAACGGCTACCTTGAGTGGGGGAGCCCATATTACTATGTCATCTGCATCACCGGCATCAGGTGGTTCTCCTCTGCATTTGGGTGCAACGACTCTACCGCAGATCGACAACAGTGCCCATGCAGCGGCCATTGGAAATCTGTCGGCGGTGAACACCAGTGTCAGCATTAAAACGTACAACAATAATCAGCAACAACAGAATCATGTGATCGGCTCAGGCCTAAATGCATCGAGAAATGATATTCTCTTCGAGAAGGATTACCACGCTGGTCTGCAGCAACAAGCGCATCAGCGAGGAGCTGGAGTTGGTGGCCATCATCATCTGGTCGGAGCTCCAGCGGGCGCCAATATCGGGCGGCCTGGTGTGGGAGCCAGTGTGATGGTGTCGTACGAAAAGGAACACCGAAATAATCATCATGTGCAGAAGTACGGAGGCCATGTACCAAATCCAAATCTTGCGCATGGTCATAATGCAAAAAAATCGCCCAGCTATGGCATCACCTCGGTGATTGGTTCTATGCCGCACATGTCGGACAATTCTCTAGATCGAAGTTCGCCAGGTATTAGTTATGCTACGCCGCCACTGCCATCCGGTCACCATGGACAGCATAATTCTGGTTCAGCGCCGAGGAGACCGGGAGATGATAGTTTAGCCGGACACTATGCTAGTGGAGCACCGCCTGCAAAGCGACCGAAGCCTTACTGTCGAGATGTCAGCTTTTCGGAAGCATCTAGCAAGTGCACAATCTCCGATGCCGCTTTCTTCGACAAGGTGCGAAAGGCGCTAAGGAGTCCAGAGGTCTATGACAACTTCCTGCGATGTCTGACTCTGTTCAACCAGGAAATCGTCTCTAAAACCGAACTTCTCGGCCTGGTATCTCCATTTTTAATGAAGTTCCCTGATCTGCTGAGATGGTTCACCGATTTTCTAGGACCGCCCACTGGTCAAACGGCCGGAGGATTGATTGATGGCATGCCATTAGCTGCCACGCAACGTCAAGGAGGCGGAAGCAGTAATAGTTCCCATGATCGAGGCAGTAGTCACCAGAGTGCCGCCGAGTACGTTCAGGATGTAGATCTATCCTCGTGTAAACGACTGGGTGCATCTTATTGTGCGTTGCCCCAGTCCACAGTACCCAAGAAGTGCAGCGGACGGACAGCTCTCTGCCGGGAAGTGCTCAACGACAAATGGGTCTCTTTTCCAACGTGGGCCAGCGAAGATTCCACCTTTGTGACATCGCGGAAAACGCAGTTCGAAGAGACAATTTACAGGTGAGAAAAAATTCTTAAAATTCCTTTCCACACGACAAAAAATGTCCCAGTCGTGTTGACACTATTTTATTGGTACTTTTGTTTCCTTTCTGTTTACTTTTATGTTCTATAGTTGCGGTTAAAAATCAGTACAACGTTTAACAAGTTATAACGAATAGTTTATGATATATTTTTAAAGTTAAATTTTAAGCTTGTCTTGTGTTTTAACCGCATCTAATTTTGTTCTAAACTTACACATCTGTTGTTTGTTTGGAATCTTCTGTTTCTTTGGCTTTCGTTTATTTCAATTAACCAATGCGCACGCTCTAAACAAAAGGAATATTCACAGAACGGAGGACGAGCGTTTCGAGCTGGATTTGGTCATCGAAGTGAATAGTGCCACGATTCGGGTGCTGGAGAACGTGCAAAAGAAAATGTCGCGCATGTCCACCGAGGAGTTGGCTAAGTTCCATCTGGATGATCATTTGGGTGGCACATCCCAAACGATACACCAACGGGCCATCCATCGCATCTATGGCGACAAGTCGGGAGAGATAATCCAGGGAATGAAGAAAAATCCATCGGTTGCAGTGCCCATTGTGCTGAAGCGACTGAAAGTCAAGGAGGAGGAATGGCGAGAAGCGCAAAAGGTAAGTGAACTCACGCATTGCTTAACATTTATGTAAATTAACACACTTCCCTTTGTACATTCAGACATTCAACAAGCAATGGCGAGAACAAAATGAGAAGTATTACCTCAAGTCTCTCGATCACCAAGCCATCAATTTCAAACCCAATGACATGAAAGCACTGCGCTCAAAGAGTCTGTTCAACGAAATCGAGACGCTGTACGATGAGCGGCATGATCAGGAGGACGACGCCATGGAGCCTTTCGGGCCACATCTAGTGCTGCCTTACAAGGATAAAACCATACTGGACGATGCTGCTAACCTGCTGATCCACCATGTAAAGCGACAGACTGGCATCCAGAAGCAGGAAAAGCAAAAGATCAAGCAGATTATCAGACAATTTGTGCCTGACCTCTTCTTTGCGCCACGGCAACCGCTGAGCGACGATGAACGAGACGACGGTAAGGCAAATTTCTGACCTCGCGTTATCTATTTCTCTTCAAATTAACCCCCAAGATATTCATTTCTCTTTTTGCACTAACAAGATAGTTTATTTTAGTAACTATTAGATCTAACGAATCTTCCGAAGAGATGCTTATGCCTAGACTTGATCATCTCTCCATCATTCGTACTCATATTAATATTATTTATTATCATTTTGTGTTAAAGGAAAAAAGCTTTATGAATTTGAAACCCTAATAAGTTATGTAAAGTATCTACTATGTCTACAGTACTAATTTGCATCACTTGTTTGCTTTCATTTTGTAGATATTTTTTCTTTAATATTTGCTCGATTGTATTTTTTAACATAGTGAATGTTTTTCGTTTCTTTTTCTTTTTTCTTCTTATTTTATTGATAACAAAACCAAAATATAACAAATGAAACAAAATTTTGTAACGTAACAAATAAACCTGTAATTAAATAATATATAATACCAAAACTGGACTGCAATGCACAATCAACCACTCACTGTCCCCTGAACCACATCGAATATTCGAACACCTATGTGTTGTGCACACCGTTTCTCTATAAAGCCTTTCCATTTTTGGTAGATGACAATACGAAAATGGACGTCGACTCGCCAATGGGTCGCACCGAGTCGTCGGCTCGAAATGCCAAGGGTACGCCCAGCGAAGGTGCCTCTCCGGCGCGTAGCAATGCAAGCAGTAGCAGCGGAGCACCGGCGGGGATTAAGAAAGAGACTGATGACTCAAAGGCGACGAGTGGATCTGGAACAGCGTCCTCGGCAACGTCTACGACACCGGCGGAAGATGCAACACCTTCTACATCCTCAGCAGCAGCGGCATCATCAACATCGGCATCCGGATCCGAAGGCAAGCAGAAGGATGATCCCCTTTCGACCCACAGAGATGATGGAGGTAGTACCTCTGGAGTTGTCTCTTGCCCCAGGCAGGCCTCAGACTCGGCAGCAGCAGCCGGTGATGTGGAAATCAAGTTGGAGCATCCGGTGGACTTTGCTAATCCCAAGCTGTTGCCACCGCACGCACACGGGCAGCATGAAGTGAGTGAACATGAGCTTTTTAATGAAATAAATAATTAATCATTGCTTCTTTTTTTTTATAACCAGGATGAATCCTATTCGCTATTCTTCGCCAACAACAACTGGTATCTATTCCTGCGGCTACATGCGATCCTATGCGACCGTCTGCACGTCATGTACGAACGGGCGCGTCTGCTGGCCATTGAGGAGGAGCGCTGCCGAGTGAACCGAAGGGAAAGCACGGCAACCGCGCTGAGGCTAAAGCCCAAGCCAGAGATCCAAGTTGAGGACTACTATCCAACCTTCCTCGAAATGCTCAAGAACGTCCTGGACGGTAATATGGACTCAAATACATTCGAGGACACGATGCGAGAAATGTTTGGCATCTACGCCTACATCTCTTTCACGCTGGACAAAGTAAGTTGGGGATAATCTCAGCTTTATTTACTTTGTTTTCTTTTAAATAAGATGTATAGAATATATATACTAATCCCCTGATTTTATTACTTCTTAGGTTGTCTCGAATGCCGTTCGCCAGTTGCAATATTGCGTCACAGAGCGAGCCGCCCTGGATTGTGTTGAGCTGTTTGCCACGGAACAAAGGCGAGGCTGCACAGGCGGATTCTGCCGGGATGCGCACAAGACCTTTGACCGCGAGATGTCCTATCAACGGAAGGCGGAAAGCATTCTCAACGACGAGAATTGCTTCAAGGTGTACATTGTAAGTTATAATAAAATTATAAACAAAACAAAACCAAAATTTACTAATAAAAACTTATTTTACAGTACAAAATCGATTGCCGTGTGACCATCGAGCTGCTTGACTCTGAGCCAGAGGAAGTGGATAAGCCGGCTGCGCTGAAGGCCCAGAAGTTCAGTAAATATGTGGAACGATTGGCGAATCCTGGGCTCGGCGGAGGCGGGAATAGTGCCGGCTCCAATTCGGCGCTGGGAAACGATAATATTGTAGAGGCCGATATCAAAACGGAGGAGGAGGAAGATACTGCCGAGGTGAGTGTGCAGAAGCAGCGATGAGATGCTCCGAAGCTGGAGCCGGAGCAGCTTTGTGTGGTGTGTGCTTGAAGAGTGGTTAACCATGTTGTTTGTGTATTTCGTTGTTTATTTCGATTACGTTTACGTTTTTGATTCCCTGTTCTACTCATGAGTTGTGTTTTTCGGTACTTCCACTGTACATACAAACCTGTCACCTGATTTAGACGATTGACAAGACCAACCCACATCCTACCGTACTCCATTCTGTATATATCTATATAAATATATATATATATCAGTTTTCGTTTATCTATCTGTTGTTATCTCTATCAACTTTCGCTGCTGCTGCACTTTCTATTATTTCTATCTCCTCGTTTCGCCAGCTGTGTAACTTTATTTCTATTTATTGTATATTTCGTTTTGGTATCATTTATCAACATGCCGCCAACTTATTAATCGCCCACATTTCGTATGCATAAAAAAATGAATACGCTGCTTGCATACGAGCAAAGAAAATACATTAAAAAAATAGAACAAGAAAATATTCACTAATTAATGCTTTTTTGCATTCTTTTCTCTCATTTTTTCCAATTTATTTTTTCGTACCAGGTCAATTCCAAGGCTTGAAATAACATAGTTTTGATAATTTCATTGAATAAGAAGAAGAAAAAGTCATATTGCAAAATGAAATAGTAATAAATGAATTTGTTTTTTGATTAACAAAACCAAAATAAGAGAAATTGAAACACCAAACCTTTTCACCCGCCACCGCCACCACCACACTCAACACCCACCACCACTACCCACATACAAAACACACATATATATATATTAAATGTAATGCATTGTTTGCCCAACAAAAACAAAAAAAAAAAAACTGCAATAACCTAAATGAGGATAAACCGAACCTAAAGTACACACCTCAATTAATGTAGAATTCCACCCACAAACATGCATAAGGACAGACATTATGTAAAATAGTAGATCATGATAACAGAACCGTAGGCACGCGCTTGTTGCATTCCCTTCTGATTTCGTTATGCCTTGAGTTAACCAACAGTTGTAACTATATATAGCAATTGACAGTCTGTTATATCGGGTGATCAGAGATCCGGCACCAAAGATGAGTGATGATAAAGATAAATATATTTAAAATGGGTAAAAGGTGTGTGGTTGGGGTGTGGCGTGTGTGATGAGTGGTGATGATAATGATGATGATGCTGATGATCAGACCTGTAGGCCTAAATTACACTGTTCACAAATGTATATAATAATTATCGTGTTTTAACTGTACATAACGTAAATGCTAATGGTAAACGGTCAATGTATGTATTATTATGTGTAATACGTTTAGTAGCTAATTTTGTAAAGGAAGCAGCCAAAAAGTCTTTTAAATTCGGTAAACATTTTTATATCTAGGCATAAGAACACACACACACACTCCACACACACTTGATAATTGTAAATTAAATAGCACACACACACACAATCACAACTGTGGACATTACTGAAGAGTGAAATTGAGAAATATATATCTGGAGCAGCCCATTAAAAAGACATATTCCAAGTTACTGAAGCAGTTGTTGGGGTTGGGTTTTATCTGGGGATTTTTCTGGGGTTAGAGCAGCAAACGAACTCAGTAATTGCCACACAAACTTAAGTTTAAGCCAGGTAAGTCGCCTCATCGCATTGTAGTAGAACTCTTCGTTTCACTTAGTCTAAGTCTAAGATATGTTTGTTGTTCATGTTGTTTGTTATTCGATGGTACTGGTTAATGTGATTGATTGTTCGTTATGTTCTGTATTTTGTGGATTTTGGTTTTCGTTTCGTTCGTGAGTGTCCATTGTCTTCGGCTTTGTGTTCTTTGGCCTGGTACCACCTCCATCATCTTGGGTTATTTATATCTTGCTTTAAATTCCCTTACTCTAAACTATATCTAACTGTTCCGTAAATGCTACAATACACAACTCACACACACTCACACACACACAACTCAGCATTCCCAGCTTAAAGTAATCTCGTAAATTCTGTGAGCATGAATTGAATTGCCGCCGTGTTTCAATTGCTCTTGGCTGCATTGCCGCCGGCAATTGTCGCAAATTATGCACAATAAAAGACTGACATTTGCATTGTTCTCATTACAGTTGGGCCACAGAGGAGGTGGAATCGTCCGCGGAGGAGGTGGAGGAGCACGAAAGGCGCGCTTTTTGCTGCGCAACAAGCGCCGGTCGCGACTGCACGAGGAGCAAGTGCGTCAGTTGTTTGAACAGAAGCGGAATCGCAATGAGCAGCAGGCGACGGGAGCTGGGGAAGCCTCCATCTCTGTCGACAATATCATCTCAACCAGCAGCACTTCGGGCGGCGGCAGCAACAATAACAATAATAATAATAATAACAACAATAACAGCTGGGGCGGCAAACGTCTGCCAGAGCGACTGGGCGCTCCACAAGTGGGCCTGGCCGAGCAGTATGCTTTTAATGATCGTGACGAGATCAACACAAATGCCAGTAACGGGCGATGCTTTGTGACCAGCAAGAATCTCAAGCTACTCAAGTACGATGCAGTGCGTCGTGCCAAGAAGGTAAGTGTTTGTTTGATTGAAATAACAAGAGGGAGTTCTTCAATAAATTTCATTTTATCTTGGGTTTTGTTATCTACTCAAAATAAAATTCATTTAAACGAAGACCTGGAATAAATTAAACAAGTTCTAATGATTAATTTACTTTCCTCTTTCCAACAGAGTCATTGCCGCGTCACTCAGGCGAAGTACGCCCACTTCCAGACCTACGTTAACAAGTGGCTGCAGCAACATGTCAGCGAACAACTGCAGCAAAACTGCATCGACTGGCTGCTGGGCAAGACGGCTGACCAAATCAATGCCAGCGGCTGGGGTTCCGCCAGCAAGACCAAGACGGTCCAGCAGAAGGATACTTCAAAGACGCCATATCGCATCTATAATCGATATAAGGTGGTTCAGAGCGCGGTTAGTGGTTTGATCAGTGCTCAAACTCCAGACGGAGCTGTCCAGGCGGTCACCTCTGCACCAGCAGGATCAGGTTCAGCAGTAAACAATGTGCTGGCCTCGTCGGCAGTTTCCTCGACCTCTCACTCGATGTGCAACAGTAGCATTTTGTCCGCGGACTCAACCACCAATGCCAATGCGCCATCACAGCAACAGCATTGCAATAGTGCGGCGGCTGCAGCTTCTACAACAAATTCAGAGGCACTGCAACAGGTGCGACCGATGGAGAGCTAACCGGGAAGGTTGGTAGCAAAAAAAACAGCAGCAGCAGCGGTCACTCCTTGGCCAGATTCATACACATGATGATAAAGTAAAAAAAAATATGTAGGTGGATGTGGCTGCATTGGATGAAAAAGTTAGTTTCTTAATGTGATACCAGTTCCTGGACGCGGTCATCAAGATTGCAGCTATACCGATCCAACATCGACTGGTGCAAGTCCGGCGTGGCATTGGGCATTGGATATTTGATCGAAGAAAAGCTCGTTTTCATTTTGTACAAAAAGTCATTTAATCTTAGGCGTTTTGCTCCTAAATAAGAATTTTATAGGTTTACGTTGCATACATTTTACAATTAGTTTAACCATGCGCTTTTTTATTGATGCGCTTTTAGGATTAAGATCAAAAGTTATATCGAAAACCACACAACCAACACACACCTTAAACACACACACGCAAAGCCCACATGATGAGTCACGTATATTTTTAACGTTTTTTGCATTGCAAAACCGATCGAGACAGTTGTGCTAGTTAAGTAATTAGGAACCAGAACACGTCTGTTTAGCATTATAAGATTTTATAAAAACCAAGCCCATTTACTTTTACATAAGTGTAACGTATTTTTTATAGAAATCAAACAAACAAAACACCCACACACACAAACCTTGTACAATTCCTTGTGAATACTATTGATTATATTTTACGCGTTTAAGGTCTTTAAATTAAGTTGTAAAAACGTAATGAACAGATTAAAACAAAAGTTTATCAAAAGTGAATTAGATTTTTTTTGGTACAATGATATGACGGGATTACAAAGATATATAAAATATTTATTATCATTTTTAGTTACAGATACGTTTGGCATTCGACAGACATTTGTAAGCTGCATGGAATGCATACGAATTACTTGTAAATAAAATCCCTTCTCGTTATAATGCCAGCAATGCGATTCTCATTGTTGATAACCAACAGGTGACGCAGACCCAAAGCGCGGAAAATCTGAAAAATTCTGGGCACCGAATCGTGCTAAGAAAATGAAAATGTTAATGAGTGCACGGTTCACAGAGCTTAAAGATTAAAAATGACTCACTGGATTGACTCGGACGGGCGATGGATTCATAAACATGGACAAGTCCACAGTGTAATTGATTTTTTCATCCAGCTCGCGAACATCCTGAATTAGAAGCTGTTAAAGGTTTGTTCCTATTAAATATGTTAGTCTGCTAATTACCTTAATGGATGGATAACGAGGATAGACATCTCTAAATGTCTGAATCGATGTTTCTGGCAGCCAGAAATGTTTGTTCTCCACATATAGAGATTTGAGCAAAATTACAATCAGTTGGGAACGTAAAATAATGCCGCAAACTCGACCCTCCGAACGACGATCCTGGAAGGGTTTTAAGGTTTTATATATTAAAAATTAAATTGTCTTTTATAGATCATTCTTATCTCACCCCGTGCACATCATCCACCACAGGAAAGCCATTATGATCGCACTTCTTCAGCACGTGATAGATGTAATGAGCCCTATCGCGAAGCTTGATGCAGACTACTGGACTGCTCAGTATCTCGCGAGCTGCCAGACCTTTGTATTGCGGTAACGGCTCCCAAGTCAGCATTGGCACATGATTCACTTGGATTTGAGTATCGTAGATGCCCTCGTTGAAGTAATCGCCGACCCATTTGGCACTGATTAGTGCAATGATAAGGGGAAAGAAGAAGGAGCTCTCTATGCCTGTTGTTTCCATCAAAATAACCGACAAGCTAATGGTCATCCGGAGCACTCCACCCAAGTTAGCAGCAGCTCCAATCAAAGCATATTTACCAGGATGCAGGAACTCCTAAAAAGAAATCATGGGTTAGTGCTTAGATTGTCACAAAATTTATCACTTACAGCCTCTGGAAACAGATAGAAAGCTAGCATTGCAAAAAGACGTCCCCAAGCAGCACCAACCAGAGCAGTTGGGATGAAAACACCCAAAGAGACATTAAGGCCAAATGTGGCACAAGATAACACATAATATACGACAGTAAACAGAGCTAGCGTTAGAATTTTATGCGATCCTAGAAGTAAATTAAGTAATAAATTGAAAATATAACTAAATCATTTCCATAAACTCTCACCTGGAGGATCGTGGAACAGAGATCGGACTGTTGCCTCCGGAGTTTGAAACCATAGAGCAGCCACAGCATTATATTCGTTGTCCTCGCAAAACAGCTGTACGGGATTGTTGGTTGGATCGTTACCCAATGGACGACAATCGTTGATAAAGTAGATCATAAGGCAAGCTAGAGTTACACCCATCATGGCCACTACAACAGCTTCAAGAACCTTTCCAATCTTCCAGGGAATAAAGCGCTTTCGGAACTTATTGATTTTAGTGTTTAGTGAGTTCCAGGCGGCTCCAAGTAATCCTCCAGTTACTCCGAGGATCATAAAGATGGGCAGCTCAAAGTAATCGAATTTTAATGGGGTATCAAATTTGCCCAAATTGAAGAGGCCCGTGAATGTAAAATCGTTGAGGCCATGGTAAGCCGATAATACAATATTCAAGGTAAACACACTGATAATGGAAGCCACCAGCGTGCGCCAAATGAGATTCTGGTTCCAAAAACTGGCCGCTTCTTCCAATGAGAACAACATTCCACCAATTGGTGCTCCAAAAGCGGCTGAAACTCCAGCTGCTCCGCCCCCAAGGACGAAATCTCTTTTCTCGTGGTCATCCCGAAATGCCTTGAATATACGGAAATCCTTTACAAAAGTTGTGCTCTTGCCCTGAGAGATTCCGGCAGCAACCACAGCGCCGGCATGAATCATTGGACCTTCCTTTCCTCCAGCCAATCCACCGACCACGGAGGTTATCACACCGATAGCCTTAACGGCCAGCGTTTTAATTCGTACGATACGAGGTATTTTAACGCCATTCAGGTAGCTCTTCACCTGTGGAATACCACTGCCAGCAGTTATAGGCTCAATATAAGTAACCATGGCTGCTCCAAAGGCCACGGGCAAAATGCTGAAGAGAAGCCAGTAAAGGTAAGGAATCACAAGATCTCCCGAACTCGAATCGCTAAGTGGGACGTTTTGTTGAACAGCTGTAAATAAATTGAGATAATTAGTTTAGTATACCCATTAAATAATTTAAATTTAATTTGTAAACAAACAGCTTAAACTTATCAATATAATTTCTTATATGAAATTGTAACCAAACCGGAAGTTATTACGACTTACATCTGTAAAGGAAGGCGTACTTCAATTCTGACAGTTCTTCGATAATGATGTCTATTGTGCAAGCTATAAGGGCTGTGATAATTCCAATCTGTATAAATATGATCCATCTTATGACATCCTTGCGCAGGGAGAAACGCTCCGTTAGCCTTTGTCGCTGCTCCTCTTGGAAGAGTGTGTTTTCGCAAACTTCATAGTCCAAGCTCTAGAAGTAGACAAGTTACTGATAATAATTACAGTCCAATCTCCGCTCCATTCTTATACAAACCTCGTAATTGGGAGTGGAGGCGGCTGCAGTGCGGGATCTCAAATGGAAAATGGGTTCCGAGTTTTCTATATCCCTATTTGAATGGCCTGCATTTCCATTTATGGGCTTAAAAACAATGTGCATAAAGTAATAAACTTAATAAGAGTGACCAAAGATAAGCTCATTTGAAAAATGATGAATCATTGTACTTAATTAAATAACTAAATACTTACAATATTAGTAACAATTGGTAAAGCATTGTGGCCTAATAGTGGAGGCTGGTCGGTATCTATTTCTTGGTGATTCCCCGAAATACCTGGCGCTTCTGTACTTAAAGAAGTAGGTGTGGGTTCTTCGGTCAGATTGGAACCGAAATCTTGAATAGGTTTTGAGCTTTGAACTGTATCTTTTTGGGGTACGATTGCATCATCGTCATCACTAGATCCATCATCTAAACTAATTAAAACTTTCCTATCGTCCATTATTTAAAACAATAATGATAAAAGTGCTTAAAAACAAACAATAAAAAGAAACAGAACAAAGCCGACTAAGTGTCACCATCAGCTGGCTTCTGACAAATACCAAAAAATACTATATTTCGTGTTGTGTGAGTATTTAATAAAGCACTTTTGTGCGAGCGTCATTTTGAAAATGGTTTCGCGTTAAGATACTTTATTGTATTAGATGTAAAATACAAAATATAATTCGTTCTATTAAATACAGGTTTTTAAATTTTACAAATATACATAAACATAACCTGTTTAAGATTACATTTTTTTGTTTTGAAATAATCCTGATTCTGAAGCTCACCAATAAGGCACATTTATTTGATTTAAATTGGATAAGATTATATTGATTTTCAATAAGTCGCTATAGTGTGGGCTCAAATTGAAAATTCGGATTCAGAAACTTGAACTTGGCCGCCTCCAACATCATTCGGTTATGTTCAATTCGGTTACGGCAGTGCAATTCCTGGCTTATTTGGGTCATTGTGCACTCCAGGCGCTGCAGGACGTCCCGCTGCGAATGATCCAAAAATTGTGCCAAGGACAAAGACTGCGAGAGAGCGTGGGAGCGCGTGTACTCCATGGATACATCCTCCATCGAGGAGGTCAGCGAGCCGCTGGATTTGCTTTCACCCTGCACAGAAGGAGCCCGACTCAAATCGATAGCATGATCGGAAGTAAATGGGGAACCAATTGCTTGCTCCGGCTTAACGGGGCGACCCAAAAGGGAAACACTAGCCGCAGCGCTAGACGAACTGGAAGGCAGTGTCTCCACCTGTAAATAAATAAAATTAATATATTTCAGTTAAAAAGCGGATTAATTGTTATAGATATTTGGTTAAAGTATCAGTTAGTAATTTTTCCTGTATATGTATATAAGTGAGTGCAGTAACTGCACTGCAGTTAACATTTAATTATTTGGGTTACTTACATCCTGTACCAAAACACCACGGTTGTTAGTCGTGGACGGTGGATTAGCTTGGACACTGTTATCTAAAATAGAATCTGGGGACTGGAAAGACATAGACGATAGATCAGATCAGTTAACCACCAATTCAAGCTTTTATGTTTCATTGAACAAGTTAGCGGTGCGAACAGATACAGTCTATATGGATTATAACGGTTAATTTGCAAGATAAGATGTTGTCATCTCGCTTTTGCACGCTTTAACTTACCTTGCGAGTGGCTCCCTCCTGCTCTTGCTTGTGGCGCTGAAACACCGTTTTGATTTTTAGCTCGTGGCTTTCATTCCCTACTGGAGACGTTTGAATATCGAGGAAAATTCCCGATTTGCCTTGACCGACTGTATTTGTGGTTGGAGTGGGAGTGGGAGCTGGAGTCTTTTTGCGTGGCTTGCCAAAGCGCCGGTTCTTCATGATGCGATCACGGCGCTCCTCTAGAGCCGCCACCTTCATTTCATGAAGTTTTCCCAACAAAGAACTATGTCGTCTCTGCTCCCGGGGGATTAACAAGATCAATCAGAAGATTTCCCTATTTTATCCATTAAAAAGTCTTGGCTCCTACCTTTATGTGCATGTGAAAATTGCCAGTGGAGCGCACGCTGCCTCTATAAATCCGATCCGGCGGACAGTAACAACACTTGACCGTAACATTATCGCCCACCTGCTTCTCGATGCGATAAAGTTCTCCATTTAGGATGTACGGCACATGCTGGCGCCTTTCCGATTCGTTTTTCACCTCCATCTTTTCTTCCTCACTGTCTAAGTTGACGGACATTTCTCAGTTTCATAAATGAATTGCTATGAACCTTCTAGCTTTCAAGAACGAAGGAGAAAGGAGGAATGTCAAAGTAGAGGAAGAGATACAAATTTGGTTCTCGCAGGGAAAGGGGAGAAAGAGAGGACTAGGCAAAAATACAACGGTTTTTGATTAAACGAAGATATAGAAGACGATACCAAAAGGGCCCCTGTGTACGATGGAAAAATGAGCATATTTGAATACTAATTTATAAACTTTATTTGTTTTAATACCTTTTTGTTTTTTATTGATATGCTGGTTCCGTATAAATACATTTAGCTGCTTTGCTACAGGACAGATCAATTCTAAAATGTTCAACTTTTAAGTAAAGCTAACCACTCTAAATACCTACATACATTGTATGTATGATGATTCCATCCTTTAAATATTTTAAATTATTGCATTACTTGAATTTAATTTTTAAATTAACTTAGCAAAAATACTCACATTTCTGTTTGCCATATACATTAGGATATGAATATAAATTTTTATGATTTCATATATTTTATGTATTTTACTGTTTTTTAAATAAATTTAGCTTTTTGCGCCTAAACGATCTGGAACATAACAATCCATTTAAGCAGTCTGGCAGCTCTGGCGCCTAGTAGCCTCACAGCCAGCTGTGTAAAGTAAAACAAGTTGGCAGTTATAAGAGTTAAAAAATATAAACAATTTTAACTGCCTCACGTGTTGCTCTTTTAAAACAAAATAAGAGTGTTTAAGCAGTATATATTGCTTAATTAGAAATATATAAATTATTTGATCTAATAAAGTAAACGAGATGTCGGATTCAGCTCAAGATGTCAAACCAAATATATTAATAACCGGTGAGTTAATGAAATGTCTCAATCAAATGTTTTAACTAAAATGTAACCCTAGGAACTCCGGGAGCCGGAAAATCGTATTTATGCGAACGTCTAGCCTCCCAATTAAAATTTGAGTGGCTGGACTGCTCCAAAATAGCCAAGGAAAATAATTTTGTGGAGGAATACGATGAGGAGTACGACTGCCCCATTTTGGACGAAGAAAAAGTATGTAAATTTCTTCATTAACAATATTTTAATTAAGCCTATTGTATTATTTAGCTAATGGACCACTTGGAGCCCATAATGGCAAAGGGCGGCAACATTGTCGAATACCATGGCTGTGATTTCTTCCCAGAACGCTGGTTTCAAGCGGTCTTTGTAGTAACATGCCCTAATACAACCCTCTACGATCGTCTAAAAGATCGCAACTACAACGAAAAGAAGCTTTCTTCGAATATTCAATGTGAAATATTTGGAACTATTTTAGAGGAAGCCAGAGATTCCTATAAATCAGATATAGTCTTCGAACTTAAGGGAGAAACAAAAGCTGATGCGCATACGAGTTTGAAAACTGTTAAAAACTGGTATGGTATGTGGAAAAGAAAATAAAAATCGGATTAGTTAGTTCTTTATAATCTAATGTATAAAAACTTCATCATTTGTATGTAAAGTTACTATTATTTACAACAAACAGCTTGTATAAAATCGAAATCTTAAATCTACAACCTAAACTCGCGTCATTTTAAAACGAAGTGGTCCATCCGGTGCATACATGAAAGTGACTGCGTAATCCAGTGGTTTATGGTTGTACTCGAGCTTGTAGTTCCGCAGAAGCTTGGCCAGCAATATTTGCATCTCCAGATCGGCAAACCGGCGACCAAGACACATACGAGCTCCGTATCCATAAGGCAGTGAGGCGAACGGATGAAGTTTTCCAGGAGTTCCTCCATGTTGTGGTTTTAACCATCGCTCTGGTCGGAAAGTGGTAGCATCAGTAACGTACTCCTCCATGTTACCCGTGACAATTGTGGGAAAGACTGCCTGCACTCCCTTGGGCACCTGGTACCCACAGATCACACTATCTTCCATTAGAGTTCGTCCATTTCCAATTACCGTGCTGTACATGCGGAAAACCTCTTTGATGAAAGCCTTAAGGTGGTGCATCTGATCGAGCAGCGGAATCGTAAGGGGTGTGTTGGGATCTGGAAGCAGTCGCTTCAGTTCCTCGTGAACCTTTTGCTGTTCCACTGGGCGTGTGGCCAGTTGGTACAACATGGAACAAACGGCCATGGATATCTGTGAATTTGATAGATATATATTATGTTTTCTTCGATTCTTTTTAACTTACAGTATCTATTCCGACTAGAATCAAATCGAGTGCCATTATAGTGGCTATCTTTTCATCCTTCTCCGAGAGAATAACTTTTTCTACCAGTGAGGGCTCGCCGTTACGCAGGCTGGGATCTTGGGTCTTCAATCTCTCGGTGGCACTCTGAATATACTTCATGCAGACGCTAAAATGTCATAGAAGTTAGAATTTGTACATCAAATGTTTTTCGAATTCGCTTACCCTACGAAGAAGTTCATGTTCTTCACATAGCGCGTCCACAGAGGCGTTGGAACATATCGCCAGTAGGGAGCTTTTAGCTCCAAAGTGGCCACATTGCGGAGGGCATACTTGGATGCATCAATGATTTGCTGGGGCTCCGAGTCAGGCTTAAGATTGGATTCTAGGCAGCCCAAGCGAGTGTCCAAAGCCACACGACCAATGCCTGATAATTAGATATTAAAGAGTTATAAAAACTTAAGAAGAAATTTACCCATAATACTTACACTCCAAGGACCATTTGTGAATTTCATTGTCGAAATCTTCGGGAAGCTCTTGATTTTCATCTAAAAGGTGCTCACAGCGCACAAGGAAATCCTCGGTGATCACCTCCAGGGGCTGTAAATACCGCCGGATTGTGGACAACTGCAGCACTGGTTTCTGGACACGGGAGCGGAACTCGCGCCAAGGCTCTCCGTGCCTGATAGAGAGAAGGAATTATTAACCATTTTAACAAACTAGACGGATTCCACCTACACTCCGACTACGCCGCCAAGCTCTCCAAAGAAATCCTTGCGCACCACGCTCTTGTACTTGACTAAACTGGGCATTGAGGGACGGAAGGGTGTGGGTCCCTCGCTTCGATAGCACTGAAAATTCATCAAATTACTTTAGCTTAATATCCGACAACTGTGTGGGCAATTTGTACGCGGTGCCGGAGATTTGTGTAATGGCCTGGTGCCTTCGTGGTTCGTTGGTCAAGCGGAAAGTCCCAAGACACTGGCGTGATATAAAGCTGAATGCTTACCTTTTCAATTTCGTCGGCATCGTAGATGAACAAAAGATCGGGCCGTCCTATAAGACCTCCAAAACGCACAATTCTGCCATAACGATCGTGCAGCAGCGATGATATTTTGGCCACATCGGAGATGGTGTATTGTCCAATTATTGGCATCAATCTATGGCACGGAATAGTCAAGGTTAAACAAATCTCTATGACAATGAAAGATGCATTGACTTTTTCCCCAAAACAGGCGCAAAAATATGATTTGTGAGCAAAATTCGTCAGTGTGCAGCAAAATTTCACACGTTATTAGGGCGACCTTGAATTCCACGCTAATTGAACGATAATTAACTGGATGACGTGCTGTCCAACGGATTGTAACTTAGGGCTTACGATTAGACAGGTGCCAATTGCTGGAATCCCACACGAACATTAACAAGAATCGTTAGGGAAGTCAACTTTAGAGTCGCCGATAAATATTTAGTTAGCATACATCAACGTTTAAAAGGAGAGGGAAAAACTAGTTGGGATTGCGTGTTTTTGTTTTTTTTTTTGCACAAAACTTAAACAAATAAACGGTGGTAAATACCAACATCATCATCTTGGCTAATTCAATAATTGTTGAACAAGCTGGCCAAGTTAATTAGGTCAAGTGAAACGAAGAGTGTTTGGTTTTATTGCAATTGCAGTTGGCTGAGAGAAAGCGATCAAGTTTGTGTCTTGAGTCTTTCGTTTTCGATTGGTTTTCGTTTTTATGTTTTCGGTTTTACCTCCAAGTATTACCCAGAATTGGAATGGGTTTTGGTCCGGGTATTTGATTGTAGGGCAGAGCATTTTGCCATTCCGATGTGGCATGTATTCTGGAGACACTTGCTTCCAATTGCTCCGCCAGATGTGGACATGTGGCCACGCCTGTAGAGCTTTCGCGACTCTCCAAGCGCCTCGAGCCTGCTCCACCAATCTTGGACACACTTCGTCGCAGATTTGGGCCAGCGGAGGCTGTGGAACGCCAAGCTTTCATAGGAAGTTTGTTCATTTTTGTTTTTCGGATCTGACAGAAGACCAAACTGATTTAAATTCAAATCAGATTTCACTGGTCGTAAGCCTCGATTTCCAATTGTCTTCTGCGTTGACGTTGACACACTAAGATCCGCGGGGCAATGAAACTGGCTTCTAGCGGGAACCGCAATCAAGTTCCACACCGAACGGCTGCCTGGCACAAACTACTGGCAGCTCGATCCCCAGCGATCCAAACAAGCTATATGTTTCGAGGGCCTGGCTCTCTGCGCGGCTTTAAAAGAGAAAGTGCTCAGTGCTCTTAGGCTTTTTGTTTTTTGCTATAGATAATGGTATTGATAATATTCCAATATATTCTGTAGAGAATATTTTTAGTTCTGCTATTGTTTTTCAAGAGTTTTGTTTTTGAATATACAGTTTCATATACTTAGGAAACATTTTGATTTTAAGCTGTAAAACGAGGACTAAAAAGTTAGTGACGAATCAACCTCAAGCAAATCGTAATTTCTCAAAATTTAGTTGAAATAATTTTAAATAAAACCAATTTAATTTTTAAAAAACTCTCAGCTAACAATTATCTAATTGATGTTATTTTTGGCAAATCTGTTTAATGATTCTAATTAAAGAGATTTCAGGCTCTTCCTTATTATTAACTATAACACATATTATAACTGTACTCCAATTTGTTACGCTCAAATATATAAAATAACAGCCCAAAAGTATTCTACAACAATTAAAAAAAATTGTATGCTCTTCCTTATGATTAACCATAATACATACTATAACTGTACTCTAGTTTTGCAATCTCAAATATATAAGATCACAGCCTAAAAGTATTCTACAACAATTAAAAAAGATTAAACTAATTTCGATGCCAATATAAAATTACCAATTACGAATCGTAAATGCTTCATGAAAAACCTCACGAAATTGTGTTCAAAGCTCATTAGCAATTATTACGAACTGATAATAGAAGACGAATTAAAAATCAATGGGCTTTAGCTAATGATTTGTTGCTAACAGAGACTTATTTAAAATGGTAGCAACAAATTTCGGGGAATTTAGTATTTCTAGAACAATGGGGTCCACTGCACCAATGAGATTTATTCTAATAATATTTGCTATTTTGTGGAGTTCGACTTTGAGAAGCGAATGCCGGCGTTCGAGATCGAGATTTACCAACATGCAATGCGAATCCTATAATGATTCTTATGCTAAATTTAATAAGTGTAAACTTAATTTACTTGGCAGAGGTCGAGTTGGTTGCGACATTTACTTACAGCTGTTACAAGTTCCTATAGATAACGCATGGGTAAGTTAACAAACTTATATTTATTTTATATAAAATATATTTACTATTTTACCAGATAAATTGGTCAATTTATCGCCGCTATAATGGCTTTCGTCCGTTTTTGTACAATGTCAGCACGGATCTCTGCAAGCTTTTAAAACATCCAAATTCGGTGTCTTTTGAAGGACTCGTAATTGGCGCTATAATGACCAGGTCCAATTTGAATCACTCTTGCCCGTACAGTGTAAGTTTAAAGATCGAAAACTCATTAACATATTTCATTATATTTTTACGATGACAGCACGACATCATTTTGGATAATCTGGAATTTTCCGATGATTTCCTCAAAACTCTGCCCCTTCCCCAAGGCGTGTATAAAGTACAACTACGATTTGCCACATACAAGGTCTGGAGGGTACAGGTGACTGTATATTTTGAAAGAGAAGAATAAAAAGTTCCAAATAAAGTGCAGACAGAATTCATTTCCACATATTCTTTATATATTTAGCAATTTTCTTTTGATTACAAAGTTTACGTTCAATACAATAAAAATTTCACAATTTTCAAATGCCTAGCTTGTGCATTTGGCTTTGTTGTCTTTTCTAATGTATTGCTGAGTTTAATGAGATTGTTGTGCAAAGCAATGTTAAATATGTTTGATGAACAACGCATAAAAATTGTAAACTTTCTTGGCAATAAAAACTTTGAACACATCAAAATCTTCTCAAAAAGTTTAATTTATTTAGTGCGCGGTAGGACAGACAATGTGATACCACGCCATTATAATAGTATATAGTTTAAATCGTAAATGCTTTGCTGGCTTACAGTCTAGAACTTGACTTTATAGCTTAAGTAGTTTTTTGGGATTGGCGACAAATCATTGAATGGCACGTATCAAACTCATGCGTATGATGGTGTGTAATTAAAAAAATAAAAACAGAAAAAACTATATAGAAGAACACTTTAAGAGGCAAGTTTAGATCGAATTGGTTTTGATTGTTTGTTGGGGATTATAATAGCATAAAAGTTACGTTCTTAGGGTCTTTACTAGTATGAAACTTAGCTTAGATGCTGTATGCATATGAATATAGAATGGCATATGTATGCTTAGACTTAGACTATCCGCAGTATGGATTAAATTAAGATGATGCAGAGTGATAAATATGAAATGTCCTATGACAGTTTAGAGACAGATACTGCACAACAATTGCTGTTCGTCTTGTTTTTCCTCTTACTCTGTTTTTCTGTCCCAATTTTTACACTTTTCTTAGATGATAATTAACTATGCCTAATCTTTATCTTTATAGGTAAGAATGTGTGTATCTAGACTTAAAAATTTATATGGCGGCATCGTTCGTATTTACAGTTCTTTTCGGTCATTAATATATCGCACATTTGATTAACTAAAACTAAAGGGACATTTCCGGTTTGGGGGAACCAAATTCAAGTCGGTTCAATGCAATTCACAAATTCGAGTTAAATCAATAATATAAAAAACAGAAACTAAAAAACAAGTAACATCCATTGTTTGACGACTAATACTTTCAGCCAGCCGGACATTGTTTAAGGCGGCTTCAGTGTTAACACTCGAACTCGTTGGCCGTTATGGCGCTCAGATCCTTCATTAGACCCTCCAGATTGGCCATTTCCTGGTTGAGCTCCTCGGTGGATGTGCTGGGTGCAAGTCTTTGAATCTCATCGGTTGAGTGCACTACTGAGCCACCGCCCTGTAAGCGATTGGGCGTGTTAGCCGAGAACGATGGTTTCTTGTAGGGCGATTGGTTTTGTGGACGTATTGTGACGGCGGGGGCTGTAAAATTTAGTTTAGAAATTATAATTTCTTTTTCTTTATCATATAATACTCACTATGTTTGTTAACGGGTGTTGCTCCGCCTGTGGGCGGTGGTCCTGGGACACTGAAACTCTTCAGAGGATGACCACGTTTGGCACTCTCAATGGTCGACACACAGCCATTGCCAGCAGCTCCACTTCCCGCATTGCTGGAATATGGAAAGCGAAAATATTCCACTTAATAAGCAAACATAAATTTATTTAAAATATTTTTTATTTGCCACCAAACAAGGTCCTACACTGCTTCAAACAACACTGGGACACTGGGAACCCCTCTTGATCACCGACCGTTTGCTGGTGCGCAGAAAGTGCAACTTTCGTGCTTGCTGGATCTGCTGCGCTTTCCGAGCCAACAAGATGTACGGCTTGCGATCGGACACGGACATCACGTTCCACGTATAGGTAGCCAAATCGGTTATGTTGGCCGCCGTGCGCATGCTATAGACCCCTTTATATTGATGGTTGATCAGGATCTCGTCCAACCGAAACTTGTTGATGAAATTGAGGAATGGCGACGGCGAAGCCATCAGAAGGAGCTGCTGCTCAACGCGCATTGGTAAGGTTTGGCTGTCAAGCTTGATAACCCTACTCGACGGTCCTGCCACCAGGTCAACCTGAACACTGGGATCGATACGTCCCCAACGCGTCCTTGAGCACATTTCAGGCCTTTGAGTCTTATTCGGTAGCGGAGATTAAAAACTAGGGGAATTTTTCTGGGAATTTTGTAAAATTTCTGACACTAAAATGTGTGCTCATGCCAATGGGAGATCTAAAACTAAAAGCACCGCCCACTTTACTCACCAGAAGTTGGCATCATAGCCGCCATAAGGATGCTCTGGAGTCTGAGCCATCGAGTTGGTCTGCGGTTGGGTGAGGCTCTGCTGGGAGAGACCAGCTTCCATGGTCATGTGGGACCGATTCTGGTGGCTGTATTGAGTGCGAGGGTACTGAGGTCGCTCCATGGTTCCATTCATTGAGGTGGCTGTAAGAAAAGGGGCAAAAATTAGATTTGAGACATTTTAGAAGGTAGTTGCTATCACTCACTCATATATCCTGCCGCATAAGATCGCTTGTCCAGCGAATTGGTCATATGACCAGGCACTGGTGTCTCTACTTCGTATTCACTGTGCACCACTGATCGCGGCAGAGTAAGGGCGCCACTACTCGAGGCTCCATCACTGCAGACAGGCGTCACCGTGTGCAAACCCTTGTCAATGTTTTTGAGTTCCATTTGGTCATGATGTATCCATAGATCAGGTGGTTTAGGGACACCAACATTGTTCTTTTGGTAGCTGAAAGTTAAGTTAAGATATTAAGTACAAAAGATTAAAATAGAGATTAGAAAAACCTACCTCTTCTTTGTGTGTTCTGGTGAAGATTGTGGCTTACGACGGCATAGCATAAGGATGCCCACCAGCACGAATAGAAGTACCACAGCCGTGGCTGCAAAGATAGTGTACATCAGCATATCGTTGTCGATTCCCTTGGCTATGGTGTCAGCCTCCTGCATGATGACCGCTGCACTGGTTGTGTACGATACCAGAGCCGAGAAAGGAGCATTATTACTGCCCTTGGTGGTCCTTGCCTGAACTTTGAAGTAATACGTGGTATATGGTTTGAGGTTTGGTAGCATCAGCATGGTCTCCTCGCCGGCAAAGGCTTCAACCGACCAGTCGCGATCTCTCTTCGTAGTGTCCGTGGTGTAATAAATATTGTATCCGGTGATCTGACCAATAGTATGCTTTGGCGGGATCCACTGGATGATGACAGTGGGTGGATTCTGCTCATCCAACCGAACAGTAACCTCTCGCGGCGGTGTAACGGGTACATTCTGATACGTACTATTCAAAACGGACATCGACCATGATGACTCTCTGCGTCCTTTCACCACTTTCACTGCAAACTCGTATTGCGTGTTGGGTCGCAGGTCATTTATCATGCAATTGAGATCCGTGGTGTTGTGGTAGCGATAACGATTCGATCCGGTTATACCATAGCTAACAGTATAGTGGCGATTGTCGGTCACATGCTGATTCTTGTTTAGCATCGTATCGATCCAGTAGACCACAATTGAGGAGCTGGACATGGTTATGGCTCGCAGTCCTACGGGTACTTCAAGCGGCGTAGGTGCATCCACAGGCTCCTCGTCGCGTGTCTTGATATTGTCATAGATAGGTGGACCGTCGCCCTTAACATTTCTCGCCCTCAACGACACCACATAATCCATATTCGATTCCAGATTCTTAAGTATGTGATAGCGCTCTGACTCCTTCAGTTCGATGGTGTTCTCATCTGGTATCCCGCGACCCCAGCCCAGTACATAGTTGCGTATCTTGATTTCTGGATGCTGAGGTGGGCCCCAATGCAGGGCAATATTGTTGGCTCCCGGATGAATGCTGATCCAAATTGGTTTGCCCGGCACTTGCGTTTCATCGAGATCATTCTCCAATGTATTGGCACGATTCCATTCCGTAAAAGGTCCCGATCCGTTCACCGTCATGGCAGCAATCTTCACCTGATACTCGGCATTGCGATCCAAGTTGCTCAACTCGAAGTAACGTATGTTGGCAGGTGTACTCTTCACCTGGGGCGCATCTTTGTATTTGCGGTAGCGAATCTTGTAGCCCGTTATCTGTCCGTTGCGATCTTCCTCTGCCGGTGGCTCCCAGTGGACGGTAATTGACTGTTGGTTGATGTACTTTATAAGTTAAGAGTAACTGGTTGTGAGTGGTTTTTCATCTACTTACGCTTGAGCTGGTCACCTCCAGGGTCAAATTAATGGGAGGTTCGGAAGGCGTGGAGGAAAAGGTCTTCACACGAATCTCTGCCGAGGAGTCACCCATGCCATTTCGATTGAAAGGCACCACTGAGATCACGTACTCAGTGTGCGGATGCAGCTCTGTAAGAACTGCATCCAAGGAAGTACTATCATGATAAAGATCAGCTCCTCTGTCGTTCTGTAGTCAAGAAATTTAAACAATTAACTTGATATTTCAGGAATATATATCATTCTATAGCTTACCTCTGAGTAGTAAACGCGATATTTTAGTATCTCTCCATTGGTCACCGCTGGCTCTCCCCATTTTACATAAATCTCATTGTGACTACGGGCATAGCCTTCAAAGTTGCGTGGTGGTCCTGCAATGTTCACCTCCGGTTGGGTACTGACCTCCAATGGAGCGGAGGAGGCACCACTGCCAAAATTAGTATTGGCCTCCACGCGGAATTGATAGGTTTTGCCAGGCAACAGGGACTGGATGTTGACCTGTTGATCGTCATGGGACTTTGTGACCATTTTTTGTTCCCTAAAAAGTGTAATTTAAATTTTATTTAGTTTTTTAATTAATAAAGTTGAAAGTTAGCTAATATTTATGACTATTTAGTAGCGAATTTTTTTTAATCAGACATCCAAAAACAAGATTATGAAAATCTCTAAACTTGTTAGCAAAACACGCGCGAAATAAATCCTTGATTAAGTGGCGGTCAGGAAGTGGCCGCAGGATGGAAGCCAGACAGGCAGACAGAGATTCCGATTGAATCGAAAGGGAAATCATTTCCGGTTGAATGAGGAGATGAAGCCATTAGGCGATTGCCCAACTATGCAAACAGCGTTAATCTATGCTAATTGTTGGTTAATGAACCGGATGATAATTATGTGGGTAATCGGTTAATTTCCTCGCTCCTTTACTCACCTCTCGCTGTTGTTCATCTTGTAGTAGACCGTGTAGTAGACCACATCGCCGGCATTCTGTAGGGGTTCCACCCAGCTGAGGGTCACAAAGCGGGACTTGACTATCTGGGCAACCAGATCCCTTGGCTGACTGGGTAATCTGGCTTGGAGTCCGCTGTCCAGAGGTTTGCCATGCGGTAGACTTGGATCCTGTTCGGGGGAATCTAAGGAAGCAGGGGATTGTTTTTGCTGCTGGGATTTCTTGTTTTTGCCCGCCTGCCAGGAGTCCAGTATTTTTTGTGGGTCCTCACCCTGTTTGTAGGCCTCCAGAAGAGCCGCCTTTCGCGGATCATTATCGTCATAGTCATCGTCATCGTCCTCGTCATTCTCGTCCTCGTAACTCTTCGATTGATTCTCAAGGACACTACCCGAGTTTAGGATATTGAATCTACGATCGTTGAGTGGCTGTTCGAACTTGGGTAGTTTTCCGGAAGGAATCCTTAGACGCGTTGTAAGCGGAGCTTCTTCTTCGTCCAGGTCATCGTCCTCGTCCGGAAAGGCTAAACTGCCACCGGACTTGGTACGCAGCTGCTCACCCGAGTTAAAGGGTTTGCGCCGCTTGGTCAGATTGTCAAAGGTCAAAAGGGATTTGGTGGCATGGCCTTGGGATTTTCGTTTTGATTTTTTGATTTTCACTTTGGGAGTGGGATTTGTAGGTGGTTGGATGTGGGTGATTTTTTTTGGGGTGGTGTGATGGAAATGAGGCGAGGAATAAGGAAAAGAAAAGAAAAGAACAAAAGTAATAAACAATAAGTTAATAAATTATATACGAAATTAATAAAAATTCATTAGAGGTTGCTTAATGGTGATTTGAAATCTCTTTTGTGTATGAAAATTGCATTTTATTAATAATTAATAATAGTTAATTGTGGTTTCACTTAACCTGCTTAACTCCTTTGTTTACATAAAGTTGATTTTTAATCAGAAAAGCAAACAGAAGCTTGGCTACTAAAGATAGTTTAATATTCACAGAACAAAGAAGGCTTAAATCATAGTAAAAGATACACAAAAGAGATTTACTTTGAGTTAAATTAAGTTGAGTAATTTAATTTATTACTAGACAAACAATACACACATAGACGCATACGAAATTATTTTACAAAAGCAGGATGAATGAGAGGGGAAATTTTTGTACAACAATGAGGGATTGGGGGAGTTGGGGTGGCTTAAAATTTCATTTGAACGATTTACAGGCCTCGTTAAAGAGGCGCCAATTTTTGAAGCTTCACAAATACTGGACACCGAGCTAGATCTACTGGGGGTTTACATCTTCAGATATTCCACTCACCTCCTTGAGGAACCACTCGAAGGCGTGCTGCTGCCTGGACACTTCCGGCGGCATTGGTGCCCACGCACTGAAACATCCCGGCATCGGAGTTGAGCAGGCCAAGGATCTTCAGATTGTGGCCATCTACCAGTTGCATATAGTCATTGGGAGTAATGAGATCTCCGTTCTTTAGCCATCTGATAACGGGCTTTGGCTTTCCCCAAATATCACACTTCAGCTCCGGCTCATCCTTCTCATGGGCAGTCGTATCCTTGGGCGCCTTGATGAACTTGGGTGGCTCTTGAACCTGCACTGTAGCCTGGGCATCTAGAGAATCTACTGTATTGCTGGCCCTGCACTGGTAACTACCCGTATCGATGTCCTCGGCACTGGAGATTTGCAGCGAACCCGTGCCAATGATGGAGAAACGGGAATCCAGATCGTTAAGATCCAGATCCATGCCATTTCGCAGCCACTTGATCTGCGGCTTTGGTACTCCATTGGCCACACAGTCCAGGGTGACGGTTTCGCCTTCCCTCACGGTTTTTGGCGAAGGTCCCACGAGGAACGATGGAGCCACTGCATTTTCGGCTCCGGGTTCAGTGAGTTTCTTGATATTAAGATTAGTTTTGCTACTCAGTCGCGAGGTACTGCCTGAGGTGACGTTGCACTGATATGCTCCCCGATCCGATGGACCCACTTCATCGATCTCCAGCGCTCCATTGGGCAGCACCACCATGCGCAGCTTGTCCAAGGGCAGTGGTAAGTCATCTTTGAACCACTGCACCGAATGCTTGACGCCTTCCTGCCAGTTGGCTTCGCCCAGCATGCAACGGAAATAGGCTGTCTGACCTGGCAGCAGGTAGGTCTCCAGGAAATCCTGATTCAAATCCGGCTGTCGAGCAATGGCCACCAGTGCCGGACGACTGAGTACACTGCCCACGCCCTCGGCACTCAAAAGGCACTGGTAAGCTCCTGTCAGTCCACGGTTCTCCTCTACGGAGCTAATATACAGCGATCCGTTCTTCAGTTGCGTTCGCAGCGTATCACCCACGATGACCAGGTCTTGTCCATCGGGTCCACGCCACCGGATTGTCACTGGTGTGGACGTGCTGGCCTTGCCTTTGCCGCTGCGTCCCGTGGATGCAGTGCCCGCGCATTGGAGCAGCACCGAGTGGCCTTCGGGTACGACGGCATCCTGGGGCTCCAAGGTGAACGAAAGCGCTGCAATCAGAAATGCACAGAATGGGTGAAATTAATACACTGTTAGAAAAGGGTAGGAGTCTTAAGTGTCTTGGAAAATCATAAAATTTTAAGGAAAATTTATACTTTTTGAAATATTTTTTATATAATTTTTAAAATTTTTCGATTAATTTAGGGATATTTTTCCTCTGTGAGCCTGCAGGATGGGGATACTTGCAAGTCAGCCGCCCCCAGTTTAACGGAGTGTGCCTCCACTCAAGGACCGGCAGCTTCTGCAATCTGTCAACTTGTAAACATGGCTGAATAATTGAGGCTACAAAGGCCAACTCTCTCTCGAAGGCATGCAGCACAGGAAATCCAAGGGGCCAGGAGCAGGAGGCAGGAGCTGGAGTCTGAGGGAAATGCAAAGGGGTCGCCGGAGGCACGCAAATATTTGCATTTCCACTTTGGCTGGGCTCAACGGGGGTGGTAGGTTGTACCGAATGTCTGGGCACCGAAAGGAAAGGGTGGTGGTAGAGCCTGCCAATGAATAACCTAACATGCCAGAAAGAAAAATCGAGTAATGCAGGGAACTCCTTGCTTATATCCTCAAAGGCTTAGATACAAGGGATAAAGGCAATGCTGAGAATCTGGAGAGGTTCTGGCCAGGTTTTAGCCATTTAGAGGGAAGTTTATTAGCCAAAGATAAAGGCTTAAGATCTTTAAGAAGTTAAGAAGCCTAACTGATATGTTTAAACTTTTTTCAACAATTTGTAGATACATTTTCCTTCCATCTTTCTTTTAAATGAATAATTAACGACCCAGCCAGCTATTTTTCAGCCATCACTGTTTAAAAATAAATTATAAATAAATGGAAACGGCCTTAATTAGGCATCGAGTTCCGAGCAGAGAAGAGTGAGTTAAAGGCTGCTGGAATGATGACTTAATTTACGAGATTTATTCAGCTGAACAAACGACTTTGGCGTCATGAATTACACATAACATTTCGTTTCCTTGCAGGTTTTAAGGTTTAAGGATTCAGGAATCAGGAATCCAGGGATCCAGGGTGCACCTGCAGTTGGTGCAATCCCCCTGCGTATCTCATTACCATTTCCCTTAGGTAGCCAGTAGCTGACTGGACTCGCATTTGACCGTTGGTGAACTTAGGCTTTTTGCCAGGAATTTTGCAGAAGTATGCCTGCCATTTATTCGCTTTGTTTCCGCCTCAGTTTCACCTCAAATTGGCCTGCACTTGTGAGCCAAAGTTTAAGCCAAGTTATGCGAACCGTGTGTGCAGTGGTTTTTAGACTTCATACTCAACTCTATTAGGTTAAACTACTTAGCGGACCTGGTGGAATACTCCCCCACATCCCCCTTCTTCCATCACGATGACTGAGTGCCTCCCGCCTGGTATTTTCACATTTTATTCGAGCATTTCAGTCTCGACGTGTGGCTTTTATGGTTATTGCTTGTTGGGGGTCGTCTTGGTCTGGTTGGTGAAGAACCTCTCGTCTTCTTTCACTTTTCACTTGATGAAATTGTGTGTGTGTTTTTTTTTTAAGGACCATTCCCTACCCTTGCTGCGTTTTATGTTTCAGCTTTTAGGAGCTGTTAGGGACAAACATGCAGGCTCATATAAAGACAAGAAATGGTCGCGTAATTGATCTATATAATTTACTATATATTTTTTATACACTCCTGTTTAACCCCTGTCAACTGTCAAAGGTAAATTGTGAGTTGAATTCATTTCTCAGACAGCTGCAGTTCAATTTTCACCCCTTTTTTTTCAGCCAGCTGAATTTCTGGCTAAGAGAGACCCGCATATTGCAGCCTCAGGGTTGCAATTTATTTTACATTTCTTTTTCAAAGCTTATTAAACAATTATTCGGCTGTAGAATCGCTGGACCAGCTTGGCTCTAAATCAAATGGAGACATCTCAATAGTAGTCGGTTTTTTATGACCCTCCAGCGGCGGCGGCGGCAGCAGGGAGCTGAATCCAATTAAAAACTTTATTGCTCGAATTGATTTTTATTGTGCGCTTCTTTGGCAGCAGATAAATAGAGAAAGGGAGAGGCAGATACAATTTGGAAAGTCGGAGAGGGAAAGGGGTTATCTCGCTGCTCCCAAAAATTTACAAAAAAATTGTGTCAATTGGTTTCAGTTTCCCCTCTTTTTTACTGCCTGACTTTCCATCATGTCTCTCGTTATCTATGGTATGGTTTTAATTATGACACGGGGCGGGGTAGTGCCACACCCACACACATGGTCTCTCCCTAGAAAAATATATCCATAATTAATAAATTAAACCAATTATATACAAAAAAAGAGTCGATTTGAAGTGGCATTTCATTAAAAGTGTAATTGCAAAAAGAGAAATTCATTTGCTGCTTTGCTGGCTTCATGGAAAATTGCAATTAATTTTGGCATTTCGGATTAATGGGTTTTATTATGGTTTATAGGTGTTCTGTACCTGAAAAATTTGAAAGAAAAGTGCTTTTCCGGTACTAACTTTATGCAATTGCAAACCCTGATGCAGTCGAACTTCCCCTTAAAAAAAAGCTTAGGAAATGCACTTTGTTATTATTTCAAGGAAAATTTGAAGAGCTTTTTTATGCCTTCAAACCCTATACTTTATGCATTTTTGTCAAACTGCGGTTGGTTGGCCTTTGTCTGCTGCAAATACAAGAACACAAAAAAGGGTCTACAGAAACAAAACAAAAAAAACCCTTTTTGCATTATTTATATTACTCCACCGAAAACTCCACCCTCAACTGACTGTTTTTCATCCTGAAAATACTTTTTGTTGTTCAGGAAAATTAAAATAAATACAAAAAAGTAGCAACTTAAAGCTATAGAGAGAAAAAAAGAGTTTAAATTGCTTTAATTGAGCAAACATTTTGTACAAATTTTGTATTTCAATTGAGTTTGCCATTTCCGACGTAATTACGCCCGACGCGTTCATTGAATCAAATTAAACAATTATAATTCAGTCAGATTTGTGCGTTTTGTTCGCTTTTCCTAGAAATTCCACTTTAAAAAATATGTACCGAAGATGGAGAAATGGGGAAAAAAAGGCTTAATTGAGTTTAATTGTTATAGCGGACCTACGAAAATCAACTCGACAAGTCACGCGGCAGGCATTTACATAAGATTAACAACAAAAAGAGGAGAAAATTTCAAAATTTGATGCATTTTGCTGGGCGAGTCAAAAGTGATCCAAAAAAAGTGAGACATAGAGGAGAGAGGCTATCCCATGAATATTTATGATATTCCAATGAATTTGCATATTTTACGATTTTTCATTTACAGACGATAAAGCCCAAAGGAGGAGTAACCAGCCAGCAGCAGCAGCAGCAGCCTTGGCTTAGGATGGCGACAGTTTCTCCTTCTCCTTCTACTTTTTCAAAAAAACTAAAAACAACTCGCTTTTGCCATATGCAAATTTGCAGTTTGTTGGCCGATAAAAAATTAGCAGTTCGGTGGAAAAGACTTTGTAAACATTGCTACAGTGAAAAATGCCTGAAAATCTTGTGCGAGGTGAGAAAAAATTAAGTTCAGAGAAAGAAAAGTTTAAAAGTATACTAAATCTGAAGATAATAAGACTTTAAAACTGATTCATATAATTGAAATTCTAATAGTTAAGATATTCTAAACCTATCATATAGATTTCATCATATCGACAGGCAGGCTGCCTGGGAAAATCCAACTTGCTGAAATTTTCTTAGTACCCTCACATGATTTCCAATCAAACAGCCGAGTCTGCGGTGAAGCCAATCAAATTAGCATATGGCCAAAAAGAGAAAACTCCCTAAAAGGAGCCACCAGCACACGCAAGAGAGTCGCACAATTAGGCAGAAATTTTCCATTTGCCAGTCAGGCGATTCCCCAACCAAACACACAAATATTTTAAGAGACAAAAACAGAAAACAAAAAACTGAAAATTTCGCATATCAGCGGAGCAAGATCACTAGTGAAAGAGGGGAGGCCATTAGAGGCAGCTAATGGTAGCACCTTTTAAGGTTAAATTGGGCAGGCCGGGGACTGGAAGCTTCATAGCCTGGCTGGTTGGTTGGCTGGCTGTCTGACTGGCCAACTCCTGGCCACCTTATCGCTGGCCAAATTTATGCACAGGCCGCAAACTAAGGGTTAAATGTGCCAATAAGCCAAATGCGGGTGTACCCCGGAATGACGCAGCAAAAGCAGAGTCCAAAACCAAGAGAGATGGGACAAAGGATAAGGGTTGGGGTACCAGCCAGAAGGTACCCTATATTGGTTAGCCAAATAAGCTTCAAAGTTGCATTATTAGTTAACGATTTTTTGTTATTTTCTTTCTTAAAACTAATACAAGAAAGTGTCCATCTGCAACCTAAGAAAGCTAGAAATTTCCCCCCCAGGTAACGAGAGAAAATTGATGAATTCGTTAGATCCCTAAAAGGCTCTATCCATCAGTAACTCAATACGACTTCACATTTTCACAAATCCAGGGTACACTAAGCCAAAAATCGGCAACTAAAATCTGTAAGCTTCGCAGCAGTTGGCCACATTTGCATTTTGCATTTTGCCCCATTATCGAAATGTGCATCGCACGCTCACGCGACTCGGAAAAGAGGCCCAAAGGCTGCCAGCGCCTGAAGTTGCAACTGCAGCAGCAGCGGCAGCAACCGCAACTGCAACATCCACTGAAAGCAGCAACAACTTCAGGCCCAGACCTGGGCATCCGTCCGCCATCGATTGGCTTGCCAATGTTGATTTTCCGTTTGGTTAGTTCACCTCCAATCTCCCCTTTAACGCTCGCTCCCCCTTCCCAACAATCAAAAGGGGAAATGCGCCCGCGAAAATAAGAAGGAAAAACGCAAATGTATGCAAAAAAAAGCAGTAAAAAAAAAGAAAGGCAAGAAGAAAAATAAATAAAATTGCTGCGAACGGAAACTGCATCGGCAACGACTGCATTGACCCCTTTTCCACCCACGTGCGTGTGAATTTGCCATGGAGGCACTGCCTCCCTTTCACCCAACTCCTCCGTCACTTGGTGGATATTTTAT